GCTGACGACGACGACGAGACAGCGGCCGGGCGCAGGGGTAACCCCTTGTGTCCGGGCCGGGGGTGGTAACCCATCCTCGGCCGAATCGGGGGCAGGGGTAACCCCCTTGTCTCCGGGCCGCTGGTGGTAACCCATCGTCGGCCGAATCGGGGGCAGGGGTGAACCCTTGTCTCCGGGCTGGCGGTGGTGACCCATCGTCGGCCGAATCGGGGGCAGGGGTAACCCCCTTGTCTCTGGGCCGCCGGAGGTAACCCATCGTCGACCGAATCGGGCACACGGGGGAACCCCTTGTCTCCGGGCTGGCGGTGGTAACCCATCGTCGGCCGAATCGGGGGCAGGGTGCGGCAGGGGTACCCCCTTGTCTCGGGGCTGGCGGTGGTAACTCATCGTCGGCCGAATCGGGCACACGGGGGAAACCCTTTGCGGCCGGGCCGGGGGTGGTGACCCATCCTCGGCCGAATCGGGGGCAGGGGTAACCCCTTGTCTCGGGGCTGGCGGTGGTCACCCATCGTCGGCCGAATCGGGGGCAGGGGTAACCCTTTGTCTCCGGACTGGCGGTGGTAACCCGTCGTCGGCCGAATCGGGCGCAGGGGGGAACCTTTTGCGTCCGGGCTGGCGGTGGTGACCCATCGTGAGCCGAATCGGGCGCAGGGGGAAACCCTTGTGTCCAGGGCTCGGGTGGTAACGCATCCGCGCCCGAAGCCAGTCCCTCCACAAAACATGCGTTGCGCTCTCGTGGGAAAAGGGGCCACTAACGCATTTTTTTGTATTTTTTCCACCATGGGGCCCGCGTCCTGTTTTCGGCCCCGGGGGCCGCTTCTTTCTCTTCGAGTTTCTGGAGCGCGGGCCGCCGGCTTCCTTGCGGAAGGCGCTCCTGGAGTTCGACAAGAGAGCGGAGACGTCCAGGAATGAGGCCGAGCAGCTCGCCGCAGAGCTTGGGTTCATGTCGCCTCCCGCCTGAGCGCGGCTGCGCCCCGCTCGAAGCCCGCGGGGTTGTCCCAACGGCTTGGCCCGCGGGGCTGTCCCGACCGCCTGCCCCCGCGCCCCAGCGGCCCGCAGCCGTCGGGGAATGCGCGCGCTCTGGCCGCGGCGGCGGCGGCGCCGAGGAAAATCAATTTGCTTGCCCCAACCAAAAGAGGAAGGGGAGGAACGCGCGGAGAAGAAGCAGGGGAAGGAAGAGGACGGGGAAGGGGTATGGAGGGGGTGATGATGAGGAGGAGGTGGAGAAGGAGGAGGAGGAGGAGGAGGAGGAGGATAAATAGAGACAGGGGGAGTAGGTGAGGGCAGACCGGCGGGCGAGAGGAAAGTGTCCGTCAGGGCGAGGAGGAAAAGGGTAAGGGCAATCTGAACAGATTCTCATGTGGGGTCTTTCCGTCGGAGTATTTTTTCTGAACAGCGAAGATTAATAGGTTTATAGTGGGCTCAAAAGAGAGCATCTTGACGCCCCAAGGGGCGGGATCCGGACAGATCCGGACAAAAGTGCAGCCCCAGGATCTCTTCAGGAATCTTCAGGAACTCTTATGAACCCTTGAGAATCCATTCCCAGAACACCACTCCCAGGCCACATTTTGAATGCCCGGAGCCAACTGTAGGCCACTTCGTGCTCTGCGTGTTCCCAGAACACCAGTCCCAGGGCACATTTTGAATGCCCGGAGCCAACTGTAGGCCACTTCGTGCTCTGCGTGTTCCCAGAACAGCATTCCCAGGCCACATTTTGAATGCCCCCGGAACCAACTGTAGGCCACTTCGTGTTCTTCGTGTTCCCAGAACACCAGTCCCAGGCCACATTTTGAATGCCCGGAACCAACTGTAGGCCACTTCGTGCTCTTCGTGCTCCCAGAACACTAGTCCCAAGCCACATTTTGAATGCCCGTAACCAACTGTAGGCCACTTCGTGTTCTTCGTGTTCCCGGAACACAGTTCCTACCATATCTTGAATGTCCGGAGCCAATTGTGGGCCACTTCGTGATTTGTGTTCCCAGAACACCAGTCCTGTGCCATATTTTTGAAAGCCCGAGCTGAGGCAGGCTGAGGCCGAGGCAGGCTGAGGCCGAGGCAGGCTGAGGCTGAGGCTGAGGCAGGCTGAGGCTGAGGCAGGCTGAGGCTGAGGCTGACGCAGGCTGAGGCCGAGGCAGGCTGAAGTTGAGGCTGAGGCTGAGGCTGAGGCAGGCTGAGGCTGAGGGCTGAGGAGGCAGAGGCAGATGCAGGCTGAGGCTGAGAGGCACGCTGAGGCTGAGGCAGGCTGAGGCTGAGGCTGAGGCAGGCTGAGGCTGAGGCTGAGGCAGGCAGATGATGCTGAGGCTGAGGCAAGCTGATGAGGCAGGCTGAGGCTGAGACCGATGCAGGCTGAGGCTGAGGCAGGCTGAGGCTGAGGCTGAGGCAGGCTGAGGAGGCTGAGGCAAGGCAGGCTGAGGCTGAGGCTGAAGCTGCTGGGCTGAGGCTGAGGCAGCGGCTGAGGCTGAGGCAGGCTGAGCTGCGGCTGAGGCAGGCTGAGGCTGAGGCTGAGGCTGAGGCTGCAGGCTGAGGCTGAGGCAGGCTGAGGCTGAGGCCGAGGCTGAAGGCAGACTGAGGCTGAGGCTGAAGCAGGCTGAGGCTGAGGCTGAGGCAGGCTGAGGCTGAGGCTGAGGCAGGCTTGAGGCTGAGGCAGGCTGAGGCTGAGGCTGAGGCTGATGCAGGCTGAGGCTGAGGCAGGCTGAGGCTGAGGCCGAGGCTGAAGGCAGACTGAGGCTGAGGCTGAAGCAGGCTGAGGCTGAGGCTGAGGCAGGCTGAGGCTGAGGCTGAGGCAGGCTGAGGCTGAGGCTGAGGCAGGCTGAGGCAGAGGCTGAGGCTGATGCAGGCTGAGGCTGAGAGGCTGAGGCTGAGGCTGAGGCAGGCTGAGGCTGAGGCTGAGGGCGAGGCAGGCTGAGGCTGAGGCTGAGGCAAGCCGAGGCAGGCTGAGGCTGAAGCTGGGGCAGGCTGAGGCTGAGGCTGAGGCAGTAGCTGAGGCTGAGGCAAGCTGCGGCTGAGGCTGAGACTGAGGCTGAGGCTGATGCAGGCTGAGGCTGAGGCAGGCTGAGGCTGAGGCTGACGCAGGCTGAGGCTGAGGCTGAGGCCGAGGCAGACTGAGGCTGAGGCCGAGGCAAGCCGAGGCAGGCTGAGGCTGAGGCTGAGGCAGGCTGATGCTGAGGCAGGCTGAGGCTGAGGCAGGCTGAGGCTGAGGCTGAGGCAGGCTGTGGCTGAGGCAGGCTGAGGCTGAGGCTGACGCAGGCTGAGGCCGAGGCAGGCTGAAGTTGAGGCTGAGGCAGGCTGTGGCTGAGGCAGGCTGAGACTGAGGCTGAGGCAGGCTGAGGCTGAGGCAGAGGCTGATGCAGGCTGAGGCTGAGAGGCTGACGCTGAGGCTGAGGCAGGCTGATGCTGAGGCTGAGGCCGAGGCAGACTGAGGCTGAGGCAAGCCGAGGCTGGCTGAGGCTGAGGCTAAAGCTGAGGCAGGCTGAGGCTGAGGCTGAGGCAGGCTGAGGCTGAGGCTGACGCAGGCTGAGGCTGAGGCTGAGGCCGAGGCAGACTGAGGCTGAGGCCGAGGCAAGCCGAGGCAGATGCAGGCTGAGGCTGAGGCTGAGGCAGGCTGAGGCTGAGGCTGAGGCTGAGGCAGGCTGAGGCTGAGGCTGAGGCAGAGGCCGATGCAGGCTGAGGCTGAGAGGCTGATGCTGAGGCAGGCTGAGGCTGAGGCAGGGTGAGGCTGAGGCTGAGGCAGGCTGAGGCCGAGGCAGGCTGAGGCTGAGGCCGAGGCATGCGAATCCTTCGGAATCCCATCCTTAGGAATCCCTAGGAGTCCCTAGGAATCAGGATTCCTAAGGATTCCTAACGTTTCCTAAGGATTCCTATGGATTCCTAAGGATGCCTAAGGATGCCTAAGGAATCCCTAGGGATCCTTAGGATTCCATTGGATCCTAAGGCCGTTGCCACTGCGACTGTCATTGCGAATGCGACTGCGACTGCGAGAACAGCAGAATTCTACAACTGGACTCTCACCTGAATCTTAAGGGGAATGCTTCCAGATATGCTTATCCACATCGCTGTTAGGTTGCCTTGCCGGGATTTTATTTGGAAATGATTATAGCAGCAGCAGTCGTAGTAGTAGTAGTAGTAGTAGTAGTAGTAGTAGTAGTAGTAGTAGTAGTATTAGTAGTAGTAGTGGTAGTAGTTGTAGTAGTAGTAGTCGTAGTAGTAGTAGTAGTAGTAGTAGTAGTAGTAGTAGTAGTAGTAGTAGTAGTGGTAGTGGTAGTAGTAGTAGTAGTAGTAGTAGTAGTAGTACTTACGCAGGACGGAAGATTTTCCTCTTGAGGTGAAAATGGCCATGAGGAGTTCGCGAGACAGCGTCGGCGCCGCCGAACGGACGGCGACCCGACGAGCTGTTTGCAGCAACCGGGGGAGGAGGGATGTATGTATTCATGTTGAATGGGGCCCGCTCGCGCGGGGAGTTGATGGGAGTGCGCGAGACGACGCAGGGCCCATCGTGGAAAGTTGATTACCGACCCCCCCTCCCCCATAGAATCTTAACACGGGCGGTTTGCGGGGTCCGCGGATCCGATTTCTTCCGGTCCCCTGGTTTAATTTAATAATATAAATTTAGAACAGGGTAGAAATCGAATCCGCCTTTACAAATAAGACCGGATACGGATCCAGCTAATTCGAAGTCGGATCCGTACGGACGTAAATCGGATCCACCGAAACAAACACCCAAACCACATTTGGATCCGCGCGAGCCTCATGAGATCCGACGGCGGTTATCTCATACGGGTCTGCTCAAGACTTCACACCGTCGTTCTAGTAGTAGTAGTAGTAGTAGTCGTAGTAGTAGTAGTAGTAGTAGTAGTAGTAGTAGTAGTAGTAGTAAGTAGTTAGTAGTAGTAGTAGTAGTAGTAGTAGTAGTAGTAGTAGTAGTAGTAGTAGTAGTAGTAGTAGTAGTAGAGGCCGAAGTCGTCGTTGTAAGAGGACGAGCAGCGACTGAAGCCCCTCCGAAGGGACTCCCCGCTCGGCGGGTGCGTCTCGTGGCTGCTGCCCACGACCACGGGTGTGATCCTCGCCGTCTTTGCCGTGGTCCTCTTCGACTACTATCCTGGTCGGCCGGCGCCGCTCCGGCGCTCATGCCTTCCCGACTTTTTTCCCTTTCTCACTCCCTTCTCCTCCTTCCGCCGTCCTCCTCTTTCTCCCGCTCGTACTCCTCATCATCATCCCCGTCGTCGCTGTCGCCCTCCTCATCCTCCCTTCGCATTCTTCCTCCCTCCTCCCTCGTCGTCGTCGTCGTTGTCCTTCTCCTCCTCCTCCTCCTCCTCCTCCTCCTCCTCCTTCCCTCCCCCCAATCTCCTCCCTCCCCCCCCACCCAATCTGCGTCGCACACTTTCCTTCCTCCTCCTCCTCCTCCTCCTCCTCCTCCTCCTCCTCCTCTTCCTCTTCATTTCTGAATCTGCCTGCAGGGCTGGCTTTCCCGGCGAAGCGCATTCCAATCCCCAGCTCTTGTCCCGTCTTCTACCCTCATCCTCTTCCTCATTCCTGCTCCCCTCCCTCCACCTCCTCCCTTCTCCGTTCTCCCCCCTGCACCGCTGCACCTCCTCCTTCCTCCTCTCCCGCGGGATGCGACGCGGCCCCTGCCCACGTGCCAGCCTTTTGTGAGCAGAGGCGGGCCGTTGGCCGACACATACGGGCGGACGCATCGCAGAGGGCAGGACGGACAAGGAGAGGGGGGATATAGGAGGGAAAAGGAGGAGGATGCGGAGGAGGAGGAGGAGGAGTGGGGGAGGAGGAGGAGGAGGAGGAGAAGGGGGGGAGGAGAAATGGGTGAGGAGGAGGAAGGAGGAGGAGGAGGAGGAGGAGGAGGAGGAGAGGAGGAGGAGGAATGGGGGAGGAGGAGGAGGAGGAGGAGGAGGAGGAGGAGGAGGTCCACTCGACGTTGTGGTATTTTTAGGCCTCCCAGGTCAGGCCCGAGTAGGCGGGGTCGGAGAGTCGCACGGCATCGCCGAGGCATGGCCGATGCGGCTGCGGGGCCCGCTTTCTCCGCGCCGACGTCGCCGATGCGCCGCCGACGTTGACGATGCATCGCCGATGCATCGGCGATGCGGCGCGATCCTCCGAGCCCATCTACACATGGACCCTATTTGGGAGACCCCCATGAGAAGAGAGCCGAGTATCTGCACGAGCTAAGGTTTCACGGGGTGGCTCACCTATTGCAGGTTGGCCTTCGCGTGACTCTGGGTTTGCTTGGTGCATGCTGCCAGCATCTCGTCAGACGTGGCTCGAGTTTGTTGCGCCTGCGCGGGTTCTCGGTAGCCCTCCTGGAGGGGCAGCGGATCAGTCGGCTGCGCGCTGGAAAAAAAACTATTTGGGAGACCCCCAGTATCAGATACCCCCGCCAGGGTTCATCACGTGGCTGCAGACAGCCTTCGCATTCTGAACACAAGCTGGCCTTTCAGGACTCTGACCTGCAGGGGTGGGGTCGACTACACGTAAGAGTGATCCTTCGCAGGAGTGACCTTCGGTGCGGGCTCGCCGGGGTCCTACCGATCGCTGAGCAGGATGCCGCAGTGGCTGCTTCCGCGCTTGGAATTGGCCACCTTCCGCCCCCCTTCATCCGCGCACCAAAGGTCACTCTTGCCTAGGCTCACTCTTGCGTGTAGCCGATCGGGTGACCTGTCTTCTCCGGAAGGCCGCCCATCCTCGTCCCAGCGGCTCCGCCTGCTCGCCGCCCCTTGGCGGCCACAGCGGAGCCTGCGGCGGATACGCAGGGCACTGGCAGGGCCGCTCACGACCCGATTCGAAGCGGTTCCTTTCGCTGGATGGGGCCGCGACTCCGAGCCGACTCGATTCGGGTCGATTCATCAGCACGTGTTGGCCCGGACCAGCCAGAAGAGGCGGCCGCGGCGACTCGCGACTTCGATCCGAAGCGGGACGACTCGCTTGCGGCCCGATTCCTTGCCGATCTGATCCGATTTCGTGCTTCGATCCAGCTCAGCTGGCGGGCAAGCCGGCTGCCGAGCAATTCTTCAGTCGGCCACGCGCAGAAGGGGGGTCCCGGGGGGGGGGGTGGAGACTTCTTAGAGAAGCGCCCCTGCTTCTTACAAGGCGCGGGCCCCGTCTGTGGATGTGAGGCCGGCGCCTTCTGAGAAGCAGCCTCCCTCTAAGAAGCCTCGCCCCCCTCCCCCTACGGCAGGTTCGCGTCGTGTCGACCGGCGGCGACCCCAGTGCGTGCGCGTCAGGTTGAACGCCGCCCGTGGCCCAGAAGCGGCCCCTCGTTGAACGATCTGGCGTTCATGGAACGGCCGATCGTTCAAGCTTGAACGATCCCCGCGGTGTCAGGAATGCGAGGTCCCCGGAAGCCTCGACCCATGCCCCAGGACCGGTTTGTCGTCACGAGCCGTTTTTTGGCGGTCCCGGGGCCCGGCGAGGGGCCGCCAGAGGCCGAAGCTCTGGAAAGACCTCCGTCCTGGTTTTTTCAAGGCGTTGGATCTCTGGGGTCCCAGACCCCCGACGTCATGATTTTTTCATGACGCGGCCCCCAGAGGTCTGGACCCTTTCCCGATGATCGGCTTTTCATCCCGAGGCGTTTTTTGACGCTCCCGAGGCCCGGTGAGGGCCCCCGGAGGCCGAAAATTAGGAAAAACCTCCCGTCGTGATTTTTTCACAACGCGAGGGGGTCTGGGGTCCTGGTTTTTTCAAGGCGTTGGATCTCTGGGGTGCTCAGGACGCCTCGCGCCCCTCCCTGCACCGGGGGGGGCCCGCGGGCTACGGCTGCGCGTGGGAGTGGCCGGTGCAGCGGGCCCCTCGGGCGGGGCCCGGCGGCGCGCGTGGTGGCGGGCGTCGTGCGGGGGCTCGGGGCTGCCGGCGCGTCGGCGCCTGCCGGTCGGCCGAGTCGGGGGCTGCCAGACCCAGGCCCCCTCGAGTCATGAAAAAAATCACGACGGGATGCTTTTCCTCCTCTCCTCCTCCTCCTCCTCCTCCTCCTCCTCCTCCTCCTCCTCCTCCTCCTCCTCCTCTGAGAGCCACAGTTTGAAGACCACCCGCCCTCCGTCCGCAAAAACTGCTGCATCATTCGAGCTTCAGGATCATAGATGCAGGGACGTCTCGGGCGAGAAGCCTGGCCCGCCCTACCGACACGCCTGGGTGTGCGACAGACCCAGACCCCCTCGAGTCATGAAAAAAATCACGACGGGATGCTTTTCCTAGTTTTCGGCCTCCGGGGGCCCTCACCGGGCCTCGGGAGCGTCAAAAAACGACTCAGGATGCAAAGCCGGTCATGGGGAAAGGGTCAAGACCTCTGGGGGTCGACGTCATGAACAAATCATTACGTCGGGGGTCTGGGTCGGGGGCTGCCAGAGGTCGTCGTGTTCGTCGTCCTTGTCGTCCTCGTCGTCGTTTTTTCCGTTTCGCGCCAGCTCCTGTGGGGGCTCCGCCGCCGGCGCGTCGGCTCATGCCGCTCGGCCGAGTCGGGGGCTCTGCAGAGCTTTGTGTGCCCGGGAAACCCAGACCTCCTCGAACCATGAAAGAATCACGACGGGAAGTTTTTTGCCATTTTCTGCCTCGGAGGGCCCTTAGCGGGCCTCGGGACCGTCAGAAAACGACACGGGATGAAAGACCGGTCCCAGGGAGTGGGTCTGGACCTTTGGGGGTCGCGTCATGAAGAAATCATGACGTCGGGTGTCTGGGAACGGCAGGGCCGCTTTTTCACCGTTTCCACAAAAGTGTCCCTTGAAAATGGAAGCGGCAAAAAAAACGGCGACCGGAAACGGCCAAAAAACGGCTCCAGGATCGGAGCCGGAGCCGGAACCGGTCAAACAACGGCGACGGAACCGGTAAAACAACGGCGTCGGAACCGGTTAAAAAACGGCAAAACGGAACCGGTAAAAAAACGGCCCTGTCGTTTCCAGGGTCCACTAAATGCCAGAGGTCGTCATGTTCGTCGTCTTTGTCGTCCTCGTCGTCGTTTTCGATCTCCCTTTCGCGCCAGCGCCGCGGATAGAACAATTTCCCCCCCCCCCCCCGGCGCTCTGTGGTGCAATGGCATGCTCGGTTCACAGCTTTCAGATTTTAAGAGGAGCCCGCATTCACATGCAGGTTTGGGGGGGGCAGTTCGGTCCTACTAGGAGATCGAGACTCCAGAATTCATTTACCCCAGACTTGTTTCTTCGCTCCACGCGCTGCGCGGTGACTTCCCGCAGCCTTCGAAGAAGCTGCTGCGTTCAGGGTGCTCTGGGTTTCCCCTCAGGTGCACCTCGCGCTGCACGGCGCGCGCTGCCAACCCCCTCGTGTAGTCGACGTGCGATCGTGGGGGTAGAAACTGAGCACGAGCGTCCTGGCGCATAGTGCTCAGCTTCACGTCGCACCCCTTCGCCAGCAAGGAGTCCAATCCTACCTATCTTATCCTCCTCTTCCTCCTCCCTCCTCCTCCTCCTCTGCCTCCCCTCCTTCTCCCCTCCTTCTCCCCTTCCTCCCCTTTCTCTCCTCCTGCTCCTCCTCCTCCTCCGCCATTACTCTTCCTTATGCATAATTCCTCTCTGTCGCACACCCAGGCGTGTCGGCAGGGCGGGCCAGGCTTTTCGCCCGAGGACGTCCCTGCATTTGTGATCCTGAAGCTCGAATTATGCAGCAGTTTTTTCGGACGGAGGGCGGGTGGTCTTCAAACTGTGGCTCTCAGAGGAGGAGGAGGAGGAGGAGGAGGAGGAGGAGGAGGAGGAGGAGGAGGAGGAGGAGGAGGAGGAGGAGGAGGAGGAGGGAGGAGGAGGAGGGGGGGGAGGAGGAGGAGGAGGGAGGAGGAGGAGAGGAGGAGGAGGGGAGGAGGAGGAGGAGGAGGAGGAGGAGGAGCAGGTGAAGGAGGAGGAGGAGGAGGAGGAGCAGGTGAAGGAGGAGGAGGAGGAGGAGGAGGAGGAGGAGGAGGAGGAGGACGAGGAGGACGAGGAGGACGAGGAGGACGAGGAGGAGGACGAGAACGCGGACGAGTGCATTCGTCATCACACGCCTGCAAGAGTTTCACGGATGGAGGGCAGGTCGTCTTCGAAAGGTGGCTCTCGCCTTAGCGCCGCGCACATTCGTACTGAAACGTTGGAACTATTTTTGCAGATGGAGGGGGGCCGTTCTCAAAATGTGGTTATCGCTTCAGCGCCGCGCACATTCGTCTTAAGCAGCTTGCGAAAGTTTCACGGATGGAGGGCAGGTCGTTTTCA